AATGTGGACAGAAAGTAATCCTACTGCAAGATACTTTGTTTCCTGAAATTATATTTGGTTTAGATAAATGCTTCTTATTGGGAATTTTAATGGAGTATCCAAAGTTAGCTTCCTTTGTTTAGAGTTTGTTTTCTTTTGAATTGCTTAAGTTGTTTCCTTTGTTTAGAGTTTGTTTTACTTTAAACTGCTTAAATGGTTTGGCTTTGTTAGTACTGGCCAAAGGGGCTAAAATTAAATATTAGAAAAGGTTTTTCTAAATTATTATTTTTTTATTATATATATATATATTTTTTTTAGTACAGATTTTCTAAATTATTGAGGATATTGTATGTAGTAACATTTGACCACACTGTCAGGATGGGCTATAAGGGCTGAAATTTATAAGTGATTTGTCTCACACCATATTTTATCTTCTTATCAAAACGCATTCATGATTTATCTACCAGATTTTTTAGCATTACTGATTATCTCTAACCTTCTTTTCTTTGAATCTTAGAAGGATCGGGTTTACATCCTGCTGGTGTATCTACTTCAAATGAATCTAAGTTTGAAAATAACAAGGACTCTGACTTTTTGGATGTATCTCCAAAGGGAGAAACTGATTCTACCAGTCATTTAAATGATTCATGCTCAAATGATGCTACAACCCGTGGTTCTGACAATGAAATACTTTCAAGTGAAGAGAGGAGTAGTGATATACGAGTTGCTGCGAGGTCACCTGAGGCTGAGACCTCTAGCCCTGGTGTGAAATCTGAAAGTGACTCTCTCAAGGGAGATATCTCGTCAAATACCGTGCTACTGGGCCTTGAAGAATTCAAAAGCAGAGCCTATACATCCAGGAGTAAATCTGAAACTGGCCAGGCTGGAAATACTATTCATAGAGTAGAACCAGGTGGTGCAGAGTATAATTATGCTTCGGCTTCAAAGGGAGCAAAGGTCTTGTCTTTCAACAAGGAAGCAAAGGGAGCTTCCAATGTTTTAGGCAGGGACGAGGATAAATACCTTAGAAATCCATGTTCTGCTGAAGAGAAATTCGTTGTCATAGAACTTTCAGAAGAAACCTTAGTAGTTACAATTGAAATTGCTAATTTCGAGCACCACTCTTCTAACTTGAAGGAATTTGAGCTACATGGTAGTTTGGTTTATCCAACAGATTTTTGGTTCAAGCTTGGAAATTTCACTGCTCCAAATGCAAAGCATGCTCATAGATTCGCTCTCAAGGACCCAAAATGGGTAAGATATCTAAAGTTGAATTTTCTTACCCATTATGGTTCAGAATTCTATTGCACACTCAGCACTGTTGAAGTTTACGGAATGGATGCTGTTGAGATGATGCTGGAGGATCTAGTATCTGCTCAACATAAACCTTCTATATCAGATGAAGCTACTGTTGATAAGAGAGTAATTTCCTCCCAGCCCGGATCCAATGATGAAGGACGACATGATAGAGAGTTGCAATCTCTCACTACAGGAGAAAGCGATGATTTGATTTCAGAACTTTCAAAAAGTAATATACCTGATCCAGTCGAAGAATCGCACCATCAACAAACTGGCAATCAACAACCTGGCCGAATGCCTGGTGACACCGTTCTCAAAATACTGACACAGAAAGTTCGTTCTTTAGACCTGAGTTTATCTGTTTTGGAGCGGTATCTGGAGGACTTAACTTCCAAATATGGGAATATATTCAAAGAATTTGACAAAGATATAGGAAATAATGATTTACTCATTGAGAAGGTCCGAGAGGATATAAGAAGTATTCTTAATATCCAGGAAAGCACAGTATGTCACACTCTTGTACTTTCAATACGTCTTCTATTGATAACAATGCCAATTCATTAACATTGGTTTGTTGTCAATGCAGGATAAAGATGTTCGTGATCTCATTTCTTGGAAGTCCATTGTTTCCTTGCAGTTGGATGGTCTGCAAAGGCATAATGCTATTCTCAGGTTTTGACTTTTCTCTTGTGTTGTGCCCCCTCCCCCCCAACCACCACCACAGTGAGAAATGTTTTTTTGGCTCGTTTATCTAATATTTTAATAAATTATCTAATAGAAACCTGACATGAGTATATATATATATATATCTGTGTGTGTGTCAGTCTGTGTATGTGTGTATTTTTGGTTTAAATCCTATTTGTTCATTTATCTGACCAACACTTTTCATCTTATAATTTGGTCTTATGTTCTTTTTTATCAAAACACTATTTTTATGCGGTAGTTTGAGGGTTGTACCAAGTGCATAGAATGGTAGTTTGAGGGTTGTACCAAGTGCATAGAATAATATTTCAAAAAGGGAGTTATGGGAAGTATTTTTAATCAGAGAATGTAAAATTTTTGTTAAAATTTTGTAAACCAGGATTAAAGTAGTCACTTTTTTAACTATAGGGAACAAAATAGACATTTTGAAAGCTCAGGACCGAAATGTATTTGACTTTATCCCTCTCGTTTTTGCTTTTTCTAAATTTTTAAAATATCATAAGCTTCAGCTATACTTCAAAAAAATGCTATTAATCACTGCATGCAAACAGCTCTGAAAAATACTATTAACCACTGTGCACAAACAGTTCTTTTTTTTTTTTCTCAATACAATAAAGATGTTTTCTAATAATGACAATTTTTCCCTTTTTCTTCTGTTTTCTTTATTTATTATGTTTCCTACTCTCCAAGCTGTTGTTACATATATCCTGACCAACAAAATTCATCCATCATAAAACTAGTTTTGTTTTCTCAGCATGACAACTTCAGAATTAGTCATACTTGAGAAGACATTTATTAAAAAATGTTACGTACCTATTATTATTATTATTATTGGAAATGAGCTCCCACGTTGAGAAAGACCAGCCTCCTATGTACCGTACCATTTTCTTTACCTCCGGAAAAGAAAAGAATAAAGTCACCTTAGCAATGTTGTCAGTTGAAAAAGTGTTGTAGTGGTGGAAGAGGCTAAAACTAAAAGCTTGTCTTTTGTATTTGCAGATCTGAGATTGAGAAGGTGAAGAAGAATCAGGCTTCTCTGGAAAACAAAGGAATAGTTGTTTTTGTTGTGTGCCTCATTTTTTCATCATTTGCTATTATTAGGTTATTTTTGCATATTGCTGTTAGATTAATTGAGAGAACAAATAATTCCAGGGAATTTTGTTGTATAAGCCCTTCCTGGTATCTATTGCTTTTCAGCTCTTGTATTATTCTTTTCATACAGTCCCTATAAATCCAAGAATTCCCCCTTATTTGATCCATTTTCCTTCTCCAATGTAAATACTCCCATCCCCTTCTACTTGGAAATCTAATTATATTTTTAAGAGTAAGAGAGATGAATGTAGAAAAGTTGAAAAGGAAGAGAGATTTTTTTTTTATAAAAAATAAATAGTTAGATTTGTAGTGGCAGTTTGTAGGAAAATGGTTGCTTTTAGGAAAAATAAGGAACAAAAAAATAGTTGTTAAATATGTTATCACCAAGCTTCTTTAGAAAATAATTTTCGAGCAATGCTTCAATTATTCCCTAAATTGATTTAGGACTCATTTGATAACTATATTCTTTTTTCTATTTTTAAAATTTAAGATTAGAAATATTGCTTGGACCTATGTATCCCTTTTTTATATAGTTTTTAAGGAACTAAAAAAAGTAGTTTTCAAAAACTTGTTTTCGTTTTTTAAATTTGGCTACGAATTCAAATGTGTTTCAAGGGAGGTAAAAACCTTACTAAGGGCCAACATGAACTTAGCTTGCTTTGCACTAGTCTTGACCAAAAAATCATGAGTTTAAATCCCTCATCCCCTTGTTGTAGTGAAAACAAAACAAACAAGAAAAGATTATAATTCTTAAGAATAAAAAATTAAACGGCTCTTTAGTAATTATCATTAAGTATTTAGGCAATGTAACGACCATTTTTTTTTTTTGTTTGATATAGAAAGTTGAGTACACATTTAGATGCAATATATAGAGAAAGAAAGAAGGTTTGAAAGAAAAAGAAAAGCTCATATAAAAACAGGCTTAGATAATTGGGGTGGTGTGAACCTTAAAAAGAAAAATGCAATGATGGTAATAGAATTGTAATAGAAAGAGAGCTTATGGGCATCCCATGAAGAAGCCAAAACAGCATTTGATGTATATATAAATTGAGAATCTCCTCATCTTCAGCAAAGAAGGACTCACAATGAAGCAATGAATCTTAGCCATTATGAGCTGTATGTTACTGCACATTCACAAGGAAATCCCTTGGTGGATCAAGTCCGACGACTCAGCAGTAGTGCAGAATTGAGTTTCTCTTCGAGTAGATCTGATCTATAGATAGGCAATTCGAATGTGGTTTGTTGACACAGACAACGTCAAAGAAAACCGAAGCCATGGAAGATCAAAGCCATGGAGAAGGAGAAATGGAGCATTCTAACAAGCCATTTTTCTCATCTTCTTCCCCATTTTTGTTTGTGTTGGTTTCACTTCCTTCTCTTGTTTTAGTATCTCTAGTTTGTAAAGTTGATGTGGAGGTTCCTTCTGTTTGGACATGGAGGACTGGCTTGGATACAGACTTCTCACACCTTAATTCTTCAAATAACATCTCTCCTCAAGCTGCTGCTACTCCCCCTCAAGCTGTGAGTATAACTTATTTTTACTCGTGTTATTCGAGTCTTGGTGAAGTTAATATGAAAAGTTGAAACATCACTTTGTGAACTATACGATTATTACAATTGTTACAATTTAGTCTTATCGTTGTAACACTACTAGTTTGGTTAATTGAGTTACAACTTAAGAAAAATATGGATACATCTGGACACTGATATGTGATTCATACCTGACATAGATATAGTGACACGTCAATTTCTAAACAAGTAGGATATGACATGCTAAGGACATGTTAGTTTTTTTACTGCATATGTGTGCATATTTTAAATATTAAAAATACTTTAAGAAATAGGCATTTTATTTACATGTCAAACACACGTGGGGCATGTTTCTGTTAAGGACTCTTAAGGGAACTAACAAAGATTTATAATAGACATGTCCAATTATTCCTTTTATTGTCAATTGATTTTAAGAAATAATTCCGTTAATATTAATATGGTATCAGAACTCCAAAACTCAATCGAGGTCCTGAAGAGGAACCCATGAATATTAATTTTACTAAAAGTATAATATCATAACAATCCATGAATCCCCTATAGTTCCCACGTTGGTTTATGCATTTTCCCTTGATAACACAATTTGTTCGAACGACAAGATTCGTCGGATGATTAAGTTTGAAAAAGCAGCAAATAAAGATCATTAGAAGTTAAAGTTGAAGCTGCCATTTTACCATTGTGTTGCTCATTGGATCATGATCATCAGGAAGAAGCACAAGAAACAGTAGCTGAAAGCAAAGAATCCAATGGAAAAGGTGCAAATTCAGAGATAATTAGGAGCGTTAAGAGATACAGTAAATTGAGAAAAATAGAGGAGAAATTGGGAAGAGCAAGAGCAGCCATAAGAGAAGCTGGCCAAGTTCATAATCTTACATCTATGCATGATGATCCTGGCTATGTTCCTCGTGGCCCAATTTACAGGAACCCAAATGCTTTCCACAGGTACTACTTGCTCGTTAAATTACCGAGTTTTAGTCTATTCGGTTTTAGTTTCGATTTGATCTCTATAGTTTTAAGAATTTTATTGTTGTCTTTATGCTTTAATGGAAGCTTACTAAACGTCTTTCTTGCCATTGTTCAAGAGTAACAAAAATCTAACGTGATACGTCATTTATGGATGTGGCAAATAAGCTCCATGACGTGAGATTGTTTTATTGTCGTGGAAGTTTAGGAAATCACATTAGTTGGAAAATATGAATTTTTGTTAGATTTTGATGGGAAGGGAGGGAAAATGATAGAGTTAATCATGTTTTGTGACTTCTCTTCTTTAGTAGGTTGGATTTTTGTTATGGTTTGTTTGGTAACGCTTCTTATTTCTGTTCTTGGTTTGGTAAGTATTCTTATTTTCTCACTCCCCATTTTTAAGAAACTTTTCCAAAATTGTGTACAACTTTTAGAAACAACCCCATCAAGTCTTATTTTTTATCCTATTTTTAACCATTTTTTTCCTAACATAAATAAAACCATTATTTTATCCTTCTCAACTTATAAAAGGTATAATAAATATTAAAAATAAATATAAGATATAAAATTTTAATTTAATTAAAAAATTAATTTTCATATAAAAGTTTTAAAATATTAGAGAATGAGAAACCTTAAATGACCAAACATGTTACTATTTATTTTTTTTAATAAAGAACGAACAAAATAAAAATAATACACCATTATCAAACACAATTATGTTTCTTTTTATTAGAAAAGAGGGAACAAGACATAAGGAAATAAAAAATGTTACTGCCTAATTTCTACCGATGATAGAGACGTCTAATAAATTTTAATTAAAAAATAAACGACGATGATAGAATTAAACATACAATGATTAAATTGAAACTAGAGTTAAACAAAACGTAATTTGTTGTTATTTGACTAAATTTTACATAGTTAAAGTCATTAAAATAAAGAGGAATGAGCTTAGCTCAACAGTAATTGACACATATTTCTGATCAAAAGGTTGTGAGTTTGAATGGCAGAAGTTATCTTGAAATGGAGAAACTGTTGAAGATATATGTATAAAAAAGGAGAGCCTCCAATGTTCCATGAAGGTCCATGCAAAAGCATATATTCCACGGAAGGAAGATTCATTCATGAAATGGAAAAGGGAAACATTTATACAACCAATGACCCAAATCAGGCCATTCTCTACTTCCTCCCATTCAGTGTTGTCAATTTGGTTCAATATCTCTATGTACCAAATTCTCATCAAGTTAATGCCATTGGAGTTGCAGTCTCAGACTACATCAATGTCATCTCCAACAAACATTCTTTTTGGAACCGCAGCCTCGGCACTGACCATTTCATGCTCTCTTGCCACGATTGGGTAAGCGTTCTCGAGGGTGAGGCTAGAAACTTAATTTTTCAATGGTGGTTAGCATAGAGATAGGTGTTGACAAGTCAGGTACCGGATAAGTCAAGTCTTAGCTTAGCTTTCTTTCTTCTTTGCTGAAGGGGCCACGAACGACTTCGTATGTTCCGCTTTTATTCAATAACTCGATCAGGGTATTGTGTAATGCGAATGTTTCCGAAGGTTTCCGTCCCTCCAAAGACGTTTCGTTTCCTGAAATAAATCTTAGGACGGGAGAGATCGATGGACTTCTCGGGGGACTCTCACCTTCTCGTCGACCAATTCTCGCGTTCTTTGCAGGTCGTCTACATGGCCACATAAGGTACCTACTCCTGCAGAACTGGAAGGAAAAGGATGATGATGTGCATGTGTACGACGAGCTTCCGAGCGAAATGTCCTACGACTCGATGCTGAAGAAGAGTCGGTTTTGCTTGTGCCCGAGTGGGGATGAAGTAGCGAGTCCAAGGGTTGTGGAAGCCATTTATGCAGAACGTGTTCCTGTGTTGATATCAGAGAGCTATGTTCCTCCTTTAAGTGATGTTCTGAATTGGAATTCATTTGCTGTGCAAATACAAGTGAAGGATATACCAAAAATAAAAGAGATACTGAAAGGGATATCTCAAAGTCAGTACTTGAGAATGCAGAGGAGAGTGAAGCAAGTGCAGAGGCATTTTGTTATCAATGGAACTCCCAAGAGATTTGATGCTTTCCATATGATACTTCATTCTATTTGGTTCAGAAGGTTGAATCTACGTATTCAAGATTATTGACGTTGCCAACCTGAGTCTCACTCTCATATATTGTTGTACTAAAAAAAATAATTGATGTCTCATCTTTCATCTGCCTAACATAAACATTTTTTCAATGTATCTTTTTGTAGGGTCCAAAAAACAGATAAAATACCTCAGAAAAGAAAGGATAAAAGCCATTGTATTTTGCTATTTTGAAGCAAGTGCAGAGGCATTTTGCTACTTTTGTAATTTGTTCTGCTTTTATTGCTGTTTTTTTAATTTCTTTTCTTTTGTTTTGCCTCTTGCCTCCTTTTTGGCTCGAGTTTTCCTTGTCTTTTTTTTTTCTTTTTTTTTAATGTACCTCTTGTATTCTTTCATTTATTCTCAATAAAAGTTATCTTTCTCAAGGGAAAAAAAAAGTAGGGAGGGAACGCTCATATTATGTATTCTTTTAGCCTTTATTTAGGTTCCGATTTTTAAAGCTAAATATATCAAATAGTCCCGTTAGGCACTTTTCAATATGGTTCCTAATCTTTTGAAATTCTCAATTTTATCTTTATTTAAAATTCTATTAAGTCTTTCAAATATAAAACTGGCATATTAATGGAATAAGTGGAATTATTTGACAAGTCAATCGCCTCTCCTTCACTCTCCCCAGATTCACCCTAATCTGGATTGGCATCCTCCTGCTGATTTTATGAAGCTTGATGTGGATGCTGCTTGTCGGTAATCTCTCACTAGTCTAGGCCTTCTTCTTCGAGTCCTAGGTGCTCGAGCGATTATCCTAATTCTCTCATGCCAATTCAGTATATCAAAGGAGCAAGTTGATGCAAGTGAAAAGCCTTACCCCATCTTCTTTCTTCAATTTCGTTGCCACATTTTTTTTGTTAGATTCTGTTGGAGATTTCCCTTTAGCCCAAGGGGCCTTCCTTTAATAAATAATTATCTCTTTAAAGAAAATGGAACAAGTGAACGTGCAATTTCATTTAGTCCATTCTAAATATCCATCAACACGTCAATGAATTTTCATAGATTCGACATCGGGCAAAATTGAGACTTACACTAGGAACTACTTGATATATTTTAGCCATTTTCTTTTTGAATTCTTATGCCATTAAAGCAAAACAAAGCACCTAAACATTAAACCTGAAAACCAACCATGTAGAAAATTAAATAGCTCACCATTTCAGGTTACAACCCATCACTTTTTTCACTAAGAAATAACTGAATACTATATATATAACCCATCAGAAATGGATGACAGTACATACAAAATCAGAACTAATACATGCAAATACATTTTTCTTGTCCAAAAATGGATGGGGCAATGGTGAAGAAAAAAACCTTAAAAGAAAAAGGGGGTAAAAAAACTTGAATCTAGTCTTATATTAATGAAGAAAGCAGTATAAACTGACTGAGAAATGTTGTATATACACAAACCTCTCACCACTTCTAAGTTTCTACTAGAAATATGAACTTGAACTTGAGGAGATCACTAAATGAATCACGAAGTGGAGCTTAATATCACCCAATGTTGCAGAGACACAATATGAATCGTCAAGTAATATCAGTTGCCATGCTAGAAGTATTTGGAAGCAGAGGAAGACTGCGGAGGAGCTGGCGGCAGCCGATTTGGAGTACGACGGCTGCTAGAGTTCGAACCTGAGTTCATGTCCCCGTTTTGTAAAGGATCGGTAGAATGTCTACTGTGGCCATTGGAAGAAGACCTTCTGTAGTCAACCCTGCCATTAGCAGCAGCATCAAATGCAGATCTCCATTCATCTCCAGGTGATCCACTAGTTTTGGGACTACTTTCTGTAGAGGTTGTAAATACTACAGAAGGTCAAGGAAATTGGGAAATGAACTCTTTTAATATCATGAAGTATCAGAATGGTAAGACCCATAAAGTGTACTTTACTCCATGGAATTTTTAAGCTATTGCTTTTCCGGATAAAATCCAAGCAATGTTTGTGGGTCAGTTCGGTTTGTCCGGGAAAGCAACCAGACCCGATTACACCCCTAGCCATGACTATTAAACAACCCAACTTTAAAATCAGTTAATGTAACAATGTTTTAAAAGGCTAAAGTGGCCTTGAGGCTTTCCTCTTACTCTTGAAGAGGCGAGGCATAAGCCACGAGGCAATATGAGGTGCAAACCTGATCAACAGTTCAGGTATGGTTAAACATGATAGTCATATAAAATTATCAACAAAACCATCTGTCAATTGCCTACTGAAATAAAATTCTAAACGGACATCATTAGCATCACTATTATTATCCCTAATAAGATAGACTTATTCTATAATTTTTGTCCTTCCATGTTCTTAAAGTATAGGTGAATGTAGTAATATATTGAATTGTTACAATTCCTGCATTTGGATTCCACACCCAAAGAAACTTCTATAATTTTTAAGAATTGGAAAATCAATAATATTCTTCTAATCCGAATGTTTTGATGTTTTTTCAATTCGACCCTGTTGTTTAACAAGTTTCAATTTAGTCCCAAATTGTGTGGGTTGACTGCTGTTGTTGTTAAACTCTAACTAGAAGACCACCCTAAGATTTTCTCCATTATGTCGAACAATGAAACAAAGAAAGTTGTGTGAGCCGAATGCTAGAATAACTTTATTTGTTAAAGTTTGACCAGAAGGAATGGACCTATGAATCTTCCAGTGGCAATAACATCCTTTCTGCCAATAACATCTTCACCATAATACTTTTAATAGCCAAATCATCTCCCATCTCCTTTTATTTTTAGAAATTGACAATTTTTTATAATTTGGAGAAACAAAAGAATGCCTTAGTTTCTTTGCCTAAATGAACCAAAACAGATCACATCACACCTTCACCGCCCCCACCCCCCAACAAAAAAAAAGGAAAAAATAAGCTAACATAAACATCTTTTTTAGGTGGGCAGTGGAACATGCACACAATAGTGAGAGCGGCAACTAAAAACTAATATTACCTGCACCACCATCAGACCAACTAGCAGCAGATGCTTGATTGTCGTGAATGCTGAGCTGGCGCGTTAGTTTCGAAAGGAGAGAAGATTGTTTTTGATAACGTTCTCTCCTCCGTTTTACATTCTGGTCCTCCTGAAGAAGCTCCTCAATCCTTGCTGAGCTTTGGGCACTGTTCAAACAAGCACATAATAAGTTTTTCTTCTACAAAATAACCTTTTTTTCGATTCTTCTTGTTAAGGAAGATCTTGCAATCAATGGTCAGCACAATATAATGAAAATGTTTTAAGCTAAACTTACAACCAACAAATGATTTGAGGTTATGTATTGAGTATAGATCAACGACAAATCAAATGCATACCAAGATGAAAATCAAAGCTACCTGATCGAGCTATATAATTGATTTAACATGTCTTCCTTGGCTTTCTCAACTTGACAAAGTACAACTGCCTGCATACCAACTCACTGATGAATAAATTGTGGTGGTGGAACGAAATGAACCAGAAGGGGTAATTATTAGAAACTTACCTTAGGGACATTTGCAGCCAAACTATTCAAAACGGCTTCAACATAACCACGAACTTCTTGAGACATCCACCGAAGCTCTTCTTCAGGATCAGCAGGTTTTCGAGCCATAGTGTCCTGAGAAATTTGTATAAATTATTTCCTGTTAATTCAAAACTACAACAAAAAAGCAAGAAGCAAATAAAATTGAAGTGCATGAGAAGTGGTTAGTTCGGATATCTTCTCGCAAGGAAATTATATTTGAAAAAATTTAAGAACAAAAAGAACCGTAAAATAAAGAAAGCAACAAGAAAGAGCCATAGACATCATATGCACATTACATTCCAGCCAGTAAACACAAATCCCGGTGACTGTATGGTACAATTATCTAAATACAAACGCATGCCAAAAAAAAAAGTGAATAGGTAAAAATAGGGTTCAATGACATACTAGAGAACCATCAGATAGACTCTGCCGCAAGGTAAGACCACCTTCGGGGGGTGCACCTCTTGTTTGTCCTCCTCTGGATGGTTGAATTACATTGCGTATCTTGTTTGTCCATTCAACCTTGTCCGCAACACTCTCCGCTTTCAAAACGATGGCACTATGGGCTGAATGTAGCACAATTGAGTCAACAAACAGGGTTTCAACATGGAATTTACAGGTTTGGATAGTCCACAGACATTCTAAAATAAAAGAAGCCCAAGTAACGTCACCTTTTAAAACAGTTTTATATGGAACTTTGCTGGTAATCTTAAACACGAGACTTGGTCCTTTTCCAGAATCTGGCCCATTAGCCTTTTTATCCTTTGAACTTTTTGAAGGTGGAGGTGGAGGCTCTTCTTCATCTGATGCTTCTTCGATAATACAATCCTAAAAATATTTTTGGCAGTCAATGTGGCCATTCAGATTGCCAACGATAATACATGACAAAATCATTGTTAAATTTAAAAAAGGATCCATAACATATTCCAAGAACATAATCGAAACCCATAAGACATGTCCACTCCCACATTGCTATCTACAGTGATGTTTTAATTAAATGACTGTTCATGAGAATATAAAAAAGTGAATATTAATTATATAAGGAAAGAAACAAACAATTATACATGATATCACTTTAAGGTTTTGAGGAAGGAGATGGCATTGTACGAGTGTGTGGGTGGGAGGGGGGAGAAAACGTTCCATGTCCTTGTCCCTATAATGAGATCATGGAAGACATTATGCTATACATACCTCTAGAGTAATTACACCACGGAAGTGTCTCTCTTCTTGCTTCTTGGTATATCCAAGCTGCACAATGAGGGTAGAATAGAAGTAAACATAGGTAATAGGCACAAACGTAACCATAATGCATAACACAACATATCTCCCCAGGCAAGAGATGAAATGGCTGGAATGATTAAGTGAACTTATTTAACCTTGAGAAGCAATATGTATATATCCATCAAATGCTCAAAGAACAGTGAAGCTACTATGAGAATTACCAGGTGTTATGTAATAAGTAGATGATCACCAATACATGAACTTATAATCACCAGAAATGCTTATGACCTACTTAGATTTTCGCCCTTCAATATAGGAAACTAGTATATAAAGATCCCCGTAATGGAAGGGCTCATTGAAAATCGAATGAAATATGTTTACCACTTGAAAACAAGAAGCACAATCTGGTAGACGTAGAAGCAAGCATCCATACAGTCCCTGACCAAACTTAAAATGGAGAAAGCAAACTATACTGTAAGGGGCATATTGATGCAAGTAAAGCCCTCTTAATCAAGAATACACACAATAGAATACATATTTTGACTTCAAGTATAAGCTTCCAGCACTCTAGAAACATATCCTTTTTTTGTGTACTAAACTATTTCCTTGTTTTGTTTTCTTCACTACAGAACAGGATAATACTTTATTGATACAATTTTAGTGGTTTGCAACTATCCTACTTAAGAAGTTTGAATGGATGGGCCCACCTGCAACACTGTGCATTCTTATATTCTAAAATTTTATTTTCATTTACACGGTAATAATAAAGCATCAATACTCATACGAAGTCCTGTGGTAAAACCTGTAGAATTTACAGTAAATGACAGTGCTGAAAAGCATACAAAAAGAACAATGTTGTATCATCTGACAAAGTACAGAGGGATCAGGAACTACCCCGCTTCTATTGACCATTAAAGTAAACATCTACTGAACTTTACACACCTTTCCAGTCTTCTCATTCAAAACAAACCATCGCCTGCTCCACCCATTAGTTTTTGCACTTTTCTTTAACAAGAAACCTACAAATTAAAATAAAATTTTAAAAATAAACCTATAAATTTAATAGTCACCTTAAAGTTGTCTACTTTGAAACAAACTGCTCTACTTTAACCACAATTCACAAACTAGGATATAAGCTATCTCCATCATACAAAATTCCAACCGTATAACAGCTTCAGATTGCAGAGACAGAAGACAGTTTGACATGAGTACAATACAGCATTGATATGCTGACAAATAATTATTGTCAAAACATAAAATATATAGGAGAATTACATTCATATTAAAAGTTCAGTCTTTCTACGGGTATAAAATATCTGAAAGCAATAATATAATTTTTCATTCAATTATTCTTACAAGAGATCAAAGGAAAAATTAAGATACTAATGCCCTTTTCAAAATAAATAAATAAATAACCAAATAACAATTTAAAGGACTCCAAAACCAATAAACGAGGTATGATTCAATATATTATAAGTTATAACAAAGGGTAAAAACAAAATCCAGAAACCAAATGTGTCGTCAATTCTATGATAACAATAATTCCAATGGACTAGTCCAAAGTTATTCCTTGATTTGTCTATTTGTTTCTTTTTCTAATCCACATGTCCAGCATATACAAGTGTCAAACCAAAAGTTGCAGAAGAGTCAACACTATAATTTGAGTGTCCAAAAAGTGTCATACTCATGGATGCCATCCAAAATTAAGCTGCCATTCACATGTAACAGGCTAATTGTGTCATCAAAAGTAAATATTTTATTGCATCCCCATGTTTAATAACTAGATGATCAAGGTACTGTTTTTGTATATTCGAAGAGTTGAACACATTTCAGCTTCGGGGATTTACAAGAATAACAAACAAATCAGAACTAAGTTTAATAATCAAGCTCTAAACAGTTCATTGAACACCAGATTTAAGAGATGGTGAGAGAAAATAGAGCTAGAAGATTAAGAGTCTCATATTAATTTGAAAGGGGGGAAGAGAGTCTCCAAAAAGAATATTAAAAATGCCTTCATAAAGAGATGAAATAAATATTTCTGCTGAAAGTCAAAACCCAATTAATAAACACCAGGCCACCGGCATGCATACCTGCTGTTATCTCTCCTTCAGCACCTGCTGTCTTCAAACCTGAACTTTCCTGCACTTCTTTCTCTTCCTTACTAGGTTTCTCTTTCATTGATTTCAAGCTTCCACCAGCTTGCTGATTATTTGTTTGAGGACTAGTTGCCTAGAAAAAAAAGTAGTGAGAAAAGCAAACACAAATGAGAATGATCTTAATCAGCACCCATGCATTAACCCAAATGACTCACCCTATTTAACACCGCTTGTTCTGCCTCTTGTCCTTTTTTTGATGATGATCTAGTCTTCAGCTCCTCTTCCCGGCGCTGTCTTTCCATCCTAAGTTGAGAAATGAGAAAGTGGACTATTAACAACCAATTTACTGTTGAAATTTAAAATTCTTGGGTGCAAAAATTGCATCACATGCATATGGTGGATCAGTTTTTTTTTCTTGGGTGGTTGGGGGGTTGCGGGGAAGCAATTTGATCTCTATGGAATGTCCACGGCAGTAAAAGCTTACACAAAAATTTACAAATTTGAAATAACAATAGGCTCCAAAAGGATAGCTGAATAACAGATGAGCAATATCAAATTTTATCATAGGTGTAAAGTATTTTTTCCCATTTCCTTTCTCACAGCTGCACATTTCGTACCCAAAAAGGTATAGCAGTAAAACATTGTACTAAGCTTACCTTCTTTGTACAAGACGGATAAAGTGCTGTGGTGGGACAAATGCTCGCTCCATGTCAACTAATGCCACAACCATCTTTTTTGCTTCACTTTTAAACCCGTCCAGGGCAGCACTAGCAATGGCCACAACCTAAAAAAAAAATAAGTGGTTTTATAAGGTGGGTAAACAGCTACCTAAAGTTCTTTCTTACAAGAAACAATTTTTTCCTGTTCAAAAAAAGTTTGCTTCCGGGCCATTAAAAAAAAACAATTTTTTTGAAGGAACAAAAAGAAAACCTTTTACAAGAACTACAGCCTATAAAATAAAAACTTCAGCCCCCAAAAAAATAATAAATTAATGGTGCAAAGTACTCAAAGAATACAAAATAAGGTTTTAAGCTATGAAAAGCTAAAAAGTTAAACTATGTGATCAATGAAGAAATAAAAAGCCACTCACCTCTCTTTTGAATGGTGGGTATCTTCCAAGACCTGGTGTGCCATTTGCAGCAGCAGAAACAATATCTATCAAAACTCGGTGCACCTATTATTTTTGTCAAACAGAAACATCATGAATTTCTTGAACAACAAAAAGAAACAATAAAATGCTCCTGGCTCCTTGTTGAGGAATTTGAGAAATTATGAGGCTAAACTAAAAATATCCTTGTAATCCCAAATTATATATTTATGGGCTTCCACAAATAGTCCTCAATTCTTTCTTTAACCTTTTTGTAATTATTCCCTATTTTGGTTATTGCTGATTGAATAGCCTCTTCAAAATCTCTTCTGATTTTTTGAGGATGGAAGGATGTACCATCTTTCCCTTTTCTGTGCTAATAAATTGTTCCTCGTCAACCCAAAATTTAAGCAAAACAAAAGAAATTGACAAACAAGGGCTGTTCTCAAAAAAACCATGGATAGTGCTCCAAAATTTAAGAAGCTAAACACTCTACGTCCTTATTCTTATCATCTTATGTTTACCTCATCAACACAGAGACGTGATGGTTCTTTTGCAAGCTCCAGAACACCTTTTATTAAAGATCTCAAACCTTTCTCAGGCGATATAAGATAAGGCTGATAACCATCAGCTTCTAATACGATCTGTCAGAAAGAAGTCAAATGTAAATAAATAAATAAATAAGAGAGTAACAAGAATGAATCTACAACCTTATTAAAGATAAGCTACAAAAGAACCTACAAAAAGAAAAAAAATGATAAATGATAAAACATACCCTCTTCACATTATTAATATCGAAATGTCTGTCTAAAGGCAATTGTTTGATTCGATTTGGAAAATTCCCCTCAAAGCTAGCAACAATTTTCCAACCTGCACCCTGATATACATGGTAATGTTGGACTTAAATTAAAAAGCTCAATGTAGTTCACTTATCAATAAGCTTAGATATCCAAAAGTTAGTTTAATTGTGACTGCAGTCAAAGTAATGTCAGACTACATAAGTAAGAAGAAAAAGAAATGATCTCATTATCATTTCATTAATAATGATGCATCAAAATAAATTCGGACTAGACAAGTATATTCTCCATGCACTTCAAGAAAACTCCCAAGAGATTAGTTATGATAAATTTTATTGCTGACGAAGATTTCACAGTTGATACAAATTGTTTTGTATTGCCCTTTAAGAGGAAATTAACCAGGATCATACGACAGACATACAAAGTTAAACACAAACTGACAAAAGAAAAGCAGTTTTTACTATTAGCAATTCACTTTCTTCTCCTCTAGAAGAAAACTGCATGCTCTACATGTACACTTCCAATCACCTCTATAGTGAGTAGAAGAAAACTGCATGATCAACAAGATAAATTCTACATCCAACTGGCAGACAAGGGGCAAAACTTCTTTGAATCCCCAATTCCAAGTTTCTGACTACCTTTCAAAGCAAGATCGACATTTATCTTGATGCAAGATCGACAGTTTCAACCATCTATTCTTCAAGTAAGCCATGAACTTTGTGGCAAAGTCGATCATAAGATTAATTTAAATTATTAGAAATTATTTTTTATATGCACAGAAGAGAAGTTATCAATCTTAATTGCAACCATTTATTCCTCTTGTAATTTTATGTAGAAAGATTACAGAAGTTGAAGGGATAATTGAGTCCACCCAACCATAAAATCAAGACTATTGCAACTATAAAAAATGAAGCATCTTATGTTGCTAACTTGTCAAGCAGAAGTACAACCGTGAAAAAACAAAAAAATTAAATAAATTAAATAGAAAACCTACCTCACCAGTGGCTATGTGCTGGAGAAACTTATCTTCAAACTCACGGCAAAGTTCCAAAGCTAGAGCTCTGGTCCCCTCAACACCATTCACCATCTGCTCACCAAGCCTAACCAACTCATCCTGAACTATTTGAGACTTCCCTTGTAACCTTGAATAAAGTAAAATCTTGAAATCAATAAGATGTTAAATGTCTGCCTAGTGAACAAAGTATTTCAACCATTTGTAATCCTGCCAAAAAAATCTGCCACTTGGAAACCACAAATATGGTGGACCCCATTCTTAAAACCAGACCCTCATTCAACTGAAATAGTTAAATCAACCTTGAACGCACTTTGAAATGCGAATGGTAAAAAGTTTTACATCAAAAATGCCAGAAATTCGAACAAGTGGACTAGTTTTCCATGATATTTTTTGCCCAGGATATATTGTGAGAAATAGGTGCTCTATTTGTTATAACTTAAAAACTCCCCTAAGTACTACAGAAATAATTGGGAAATATATATATATGCACAAGAATTTGTAAAATAAAGATTTGCTCCTGAAATTTGGGAAAACAGTTACCCAGAGAGGAGATTAGGAAGCCGGACTTTCATTCGTTTGCGGATCTGTTGGGACAATGCATCAACTAAAGCTAGCCTGCCTAGCTTACTTGGAGGGGCTCCAGTTAGTATAGATTTTAGACTCTCACTCTCTGCCCTCCATGCAGTCTCCAAGGAATTCTCGGAGCCAATAGATCCAGACTGTGCAGAAGCTATTGAAACTGACTGACCAATTAAAGCAACCCATGGCATATCTGAGGCTCGTGTGGGCCCTTGATTTAACAGAAGAGCTTGAACTGCAGCAAGAGACTTCTGATCTGAAGAGGCTTGGTCAATTTTGCTAATTACACCAATGGTTCTGGTACCTATGTTGAGGAATCTTTCAGATTTAATCACTTAAAGTAGTGCAGTGGGATAGAGAGAAAATAAGATGCACAGTTTGAGGATAAATCAACAAAAATTGAAATTTTAAAATTGAAAACGATCCCCATAAACTTAAGGCAAAACAAGAAAAATGGAACAAAAATCCATGATAAATGAAAGGCATCATGCATCTAAAAAGGCAAAACCCATTATCAGAACTTATTCACAAGTTATAGAAATAACATTCGCCGAACTTGAAAAAGAATGAAATCATGACTGTGTAGCATATTACCATCTGCATCAAATTCCTTTGCAGTTCTTAGGGCTCGAGATGAAGCAATTTCAGGAGCCTGAGCTGCTGGTACAATAACTAGCAAAATTGCATCGTTGTGTTCGGCATATTCACTAACCTATGCAGAAACCATAAAAATATAATTACTTATACCATTAATAATAGTTTATATACAATGCCAAACCATCGCTTAAATGGCTAAGAAAAACATACATAAACCTTCTATGTGGATTATGGATTCAGAACTTGTCTAAAAGCATTCATCTGGAAAAGGAACAGTAGGAAATCTTTCAAATAAGTACATGAGCAAGTCCATGAGCGACTACTTACCACAGAATCATCCATGGCCCGTTGATCAAGCCCAGGTAAATCAACCAACTTCAGTGGAGGCGCTGAAATTAAATTGTGTAAATGAAAATCTGAGAAATGATAGCCCATAACTGAATAAAATAAATACAGGTAGTTAATAATATTTTATATAATGAATCAATGCACGTAAGAACCTGACAAATTAAATTCAGCATGCAAAACACAATTCAAATTTCATCAGAAATTGAACCTTCAGCTAATAAAATCCTATTCATATATGGTGCAGCAGATTTTAATTTTATGTCTTGGACATTATTTGAATCTTTATAAATAACTTGCTCCATTGGCTTTATAGGCTGAACACTTCTTTGAATTAAATATTACCTTAAAGAATTACATATTAAATTAAAAAAAAATCATAAGAAAAATTAAAGACCTATACAGCGTACCACAAAGGTCAAATGAACAAACTAACCTGTACTCGTGCGAAGCTTTAGATATATTTCATCTCGGCCCTTTCCTGTAGAACCCTTGCTCAACCTGTCTTGTAGAGAATGTCGCAATGCACCTAAAGAACATTTGAAAGTAATGCAGAAATTAAACACAGGAGCTAGCTAAAAACCCATTAAGATCTGAAATATCACCTCTTGTACTAAAAATTATAGTATAGGTGATGCAAAACCAAAAGCGTACAAATGAAAAGGTGCTAAAAGCTACTCTACAAACAAGGGCAGACCCTTGAAACATTTAAAGTTCACGTATAATATTGCTGATTGAAATGAAAAAAGAACACGAGAGAGAAAAAGAAACTGTATAGTACGAAGTTTAAAACAGAAGCATTTTGTAAAGTTACTAACTTGCAGAAACCTGTTGAGATTTATTATCAATCTGCAGAATAATTGATTTGCTACTCAAAGAACCATCCCTCTGTAAATCAAGGCTAATTGGAGCTCGTGTAGCACCATTTTCACCAGTGGGCTGGACATATAATAGAAAACAAATTACACATAAAAATAGGGCATTCATATGGTTGACCAGTAGATACATAGAAAGAAAAATAATAACCAAGCAAGTAAAATTCACTTACCAAAACAGGATGCCCAATTAAACTATTCAAAACTGCAGATTTGCCAGCACCCTGACAAATTTGATCAAAGAAAAAAAGTTATGATAGAAATCTTCATAGAATTGTGAAGCATACAATCAATAAGAACTGAGTCTAACATCCAATAATAAATTGTTGGCTGAAAAAAAGTTAAATTTCATCGATGTACATACAACTCCAACTGCAAGCCATCAATAATAAAAATCCCAAACTGTGCATATTTGATCACACTGTAGAGCTAGAGCTTGCACAGTCAACAGAACTCTTGCAGCTGTCAGGACAGAACAGTCTAAATAACTAATCTAGAGCACCATTCCAGATATTACTCTACCACTACAAGCATTAAGGCTTTGTCACAATGGTCAATCCGTGAAGTTCACCTTTCAAATCAGGCATGAACAATCTGCTAAGTTGCAAAATAGTTAACTAAGCAACACGCCCCTATCGTAAGGGACCTTCAAATTTCTCTCCTGTTGCAAGTAAAAACTAAAAAACCTAACAACCAGACCACAATAGATTCCACATCATTTCATTACTAGGATGCTCCAACATGTCGGGAGACCTAGATAGGAAAAGGAGAAACAAAGATCTGCCCCAGTCTAGTAATTCAAAAACTCAAATCCAGATATACGTCTCCAAAACAAACCACACAGAACAAGACTGATCCAACTTCCAAAACCCAGTAACTAAAACAGAAAACGGAAGGAACGGTGAACTCACAACATTTCCCAGAGCCACGACGTTGAGGAAAGTTGCAGCCCTACGAGAAGAAGCACGAGAGTTGGAATTCTCGTCAACATCTTCGTCGGCAAGCAAAGCAGCCGCTTGGCGCATCGATTCAGACAACTCTCCCAACTCCTCGATCGCCTCCATTGCATCCATAGAAAGCTACCCAAGATCAACGATCTAGAGCTTTGAAAAACCCAACTCAAGTAATCGGGAGAAAAGACTTAGAAAGTACAAAATCAAACTCCACAGAGACAAAGAGATCGAAGAAAGAAGAACCCTAAAAGAGAGATTGGTAGAGAGATCTATGAGTAACAGAGCTCTCCCTCTCTCTGTGAAAGATTTTGAATTTGAAGAAATGAAGAAGAAAAAAACTGTGTAGTTCAATTTTTGGGAGACGGGGGTTATAAGAACGAAGAAGAATAAGAGAAGAAATTTCCCTCTCTCTCTCTAAAGACTGTTTCTCTCTCTCTAAGACTGTCACTGTTCCTGATTTGAATTTTCTTTTCTTTTCTTTTTTACTATTTGAATAAAAAAAAGTTTTTTTTCTTTTTCTAAAAAAAAAAGGAAAAAAAACTCTTCTGTTGAAGGATAGGGAAGAGGACACGTTAAAAGGGCCACTTTTGCAAGACTCTATGAACTACAAAGTTGAACCGCCAACTAACATCATAGAGTCGTTGAAGGCGATAATATATCGCTTCTTTAATTTGTCATAGGTTAAATTTTTTAATACTTTAAAGTTTTTCTTCTAACCCTAATTTCTAAATTTTAGTTCACTAGCATCAACAAAGGAATATGTTTCTTGATGTCTTTTAAAAAAGATTTAGCTTCACCTGTTATATTTTCCCAATTCAAACATAGCTCCATAGATAAATACACTAATTATCATTCCAGAAGTCGATAATTTAATTTCTATCCTTGCAATTGTTGAACTCAAAGAAAACAAAAATTCATTTGTGAGATAGCAAAGAGCTTTGACAAAAGTATAACTGGATCAAACAAGAGAGATATCATTTGACAACCTAACAATTACACAATGTTTGAAATGCATAGAACTTTTTAAGGTTAAATTAGAAGTTTGGTCCTTGTTCAAGGATCTTGTCTGTTTAGTCCTGCATTATAAAAAAATTCCAATAGGTTTAGAGTATCTATACTTTAAAAACGTTCTAATGGAAATTTAAAATTCCCATTCTGTCTAATAGATTCTTCTCGTTGATTTCATTTAACTACATATTTTAAAGTTTCTAAAGTACAGGATTAGAGAGAGTATTCAAATAGAAGTTGACAAACCAAACTTATCTCAGCCACTTCAAGATTGAGATGAAGTACCTTTAATCACTTGAGGCAAAGGAAACTATTTTACTAAACCGGTCAACCACAACAAACACTGAGTCATATCTTCATTGAGTCTTAGGTAATCCTAACACAAAATCCATAAACAAATCTTCCCAAATTGTACGTGGGGTGGGTAGAGGTATATACAACCCTGTATTTTGTTTCTGACCCTTACTAGTTTGACATATGTAAAATTTAGAGATAGCTATAGTAAGACAGAATCCCAGTACATATACTTTGAATCATCACTCAACAAGTGTTTAGGAGTGAATTATGTCAACAATAGTCAAAAGCTCATTCGAAAGTTAAAAGGCGCTTCCTAATTCAAAATATTTGTGTTTGTCTACAATTCAGATCAACGATTTAAAATATATATATAGAAGCGTGAGTGAGCACTTTATTGGGTGTTTTTGACTTAAACATTGGTTTAAGTTTCATTTAGTCCTTCAGTTTTGAAACTTATTTCATTTTGATCCTTAACTTTTAAATCTTTACCAGCTTTTAATGGTTAAAGGACCCTCCTGACTCAAAATGATTTTGTTGGGATACAGTTTAGATTTACCATTAAAAAGAAAACAAACAAACCAATTAGAAGTTTTATTCAAAAAAATCTATTGGGTGAGAATTTAAATCTCAGTTGTTCAATTTTGAAAATTATTTCATTTTGGTCCCTAAATTTTTAAATTATTTATTTGCCTTTAAACTTTCAAATTTTTCATTTTGATCCATAAACTTTTTGGTTCTTGTCGTTGTGTTGTTAATTGTCTAATAGACAGATAATATAGTTTCGAGTATTTATATTGACATGCTTAAAGGACATGCATTACAACGACATAGCATTTTTTTAGAATACGACATCATAGATACGAAAGTGATGATTGTTTTTTTAGTTCAACAATACATGGCGGTGGGAATTCGAACCTCCAACCTTTTGGTTAAGGATATATATCTTAACTAGTTGAACTATACTCAACTTGAAAGTGAAAATTCAAACCTATATAATTAATCATTTAAAGAGGTAGAGATGTTTATGTTGGGATTTTACCCCTGAAACATTGTAATTTATGTTTATTTTTTATTATTGATTATCTGGTTTATGAAAATCCTAGGTTACTAACTGTAACTTGAAACATTATGTAGTTGACTTACACGATGATCGTGTTCAAGAAGTAATCTAAATAGTCTATGTTTGGGTGCCCTATATTAATATAGCATTGTTGATACACCCAACTTAGTAAAGTAAATCATTCATGTGAAGACATGCGGTATCATATATAATGAATTTGTATAAGACTATATCGAAAAATATTTAATCTTTCCTGGTAAATCTGTTAAAAGGAGAGATAAATATTCCACAAGATGATTTCATGCGACTAACTCTTATATGCAAAATCATGTCCTTTGATTTTACATGTGTTATAATGACTTTGGTAACCGATTCAATATGCCTGCTATTTTGAGAATGTGACAATATAGGAAGTTGAGAACACAATCTTATAGGGTATGTAGATAAGTAATTTTCATGAGTGTTGATTTTGAGACTTGAGCAATAGGACCCCACCTCACTGACTCTAAGATAATTTATGGTTGGATCATGACTAAATTGTTCATTAGAAGATCGATGATACTTAAGATATAAGATATAATTAAATGTGCAAAACAGACTTTGACCCAACTGTAATTTCAAACAACTCATGAATGGTGACTTGTAGCTTCAAATAATTCGTGGAAGCCCAACAATGGAATTCTTAACCTAGTCAATAGCATAGTCCAATTTTTACGATTATGAAAATTTAAGGGATTATTTTTACCATTAGAAATTTATGGGTGCAATTGCAACAACAACTATAGTCACGAGTGCTTTGTTCAATTTGTTACAATTAACTTGTATTTTAATAAATAGTCAATTCTAAAAATATTTGTTACATAAATATTACTAATTCCAAATATGCTTCTAATTAAATAAAAAAAAAAGCTTTAAAATACTAGTGAGCAACAAGGTGTGATACACAATTTACCATTTTATTATTATTACTTAAAAGAGAAATTTTGTCATTCAAATACAAACCTCTCTCTCAATTCCTCTAATTTATCTTTATTTCCAAACACTATCTCTCAATCTTTACAAATTTCTATCTCTCGATTCCACACACCTCTAATTTTCTATCTCTTTATAAATAGTATCTCTTCACCCTTACAAATTCAACATACACTTAGATAAATTATAATTTTGAGTTGGAATTTTGGTAAATGGAGAAAAAAGAGTTTTAAGAGTGAATGAAAAAGGGAGAAAAAAAAGAATTATGAGCGAGAAATGAAATTTTTTAGGAAGAGAAACAAAATTATTTGAAAAAAGTGGAATTTGTAAAGATTGAAGAGAATATTTGGAAATTAAGTGGGGGGTGGCATGAGGATGAAGAGGGGAGAGAAAATGAGTGGAATTTGAGGGGAGTTGGAAGGAGAGGAGAGCGAGAATGACCAAATTACCCTCGAAATATAGAGAAAATGATTAAAATTAAAGGGTAAAATGGGAAGACAGTATATATTAAAATTAAATAACAAAATGTTTTATTAAAAATATTTATCATTTACTTTAACCAAAGGTGCATATTTCAAGAAGATTTGGGAGGTTTCATTTACCTTGTAAAGGGTAAATATGCACATGATGTAAAAGAGACTTTTACCATCCAAAATGATTCAAACACAAAGACAAAAAGTAATTTGAGGTTGCAAAAAGTTAGAACAAAATGAGACTTTAGAAAAATGTCTTTTCAACTTTTAAATTCCATTAAGACATTCTTAAACTAGATAAATAAAGAAATTAAAGCCCCCTTTGAAATTTTTTGTACTTCCACAAACTATTATGATTATCTTCTAATGCTTTTTACAAGTTAGAAATAGTCTAATATTTAATATTTTCCTTCTTTTTCTTTTTAACTTTTTCACTTTCAAAAATTTGAAAGGTGTATAGTAGTCGTTTCCGTTACTTGTTTCTTATTTTTCGTTTTCAGTATTTTCAAAAGTATATAATAATTGTTATGTTTATCATTTTTCATTTCTCACAAACGTGTTTCTAAAATTGTGTATAAATATTGGAAACAACAAAAAATTTAATTTTTTTGTTCTTTTTTTTGCCATCTCTAAATTTTTTTTAAAATATAAATAAAAGTATTATTTCACTCCTTACAAAATGTATCAATAAATATTAAAAATTATATAACATAAAAAATTTTGAATATTGAATTTTAAAATTTAAATTTTTAGAGAATGAAAAATAATAAAGGGTAACTGGATATGTTTCTTTTTGTTAAGAAAGAATGAATAATAAACAAGAAATAGTTACCGTACTATTTTAATTTTATTAAAAAAATAAGAATGTAGTTTCTCCAAAATTTTTCATAATATTCTAATACCGACGTAAACTAAAATAGTATTTAAACTATTTATTATAAGACACATAATTTCTAAATTTGTTACGAAGTAATATAATAATTCATACCAAAATTATATGGTAATAACAATTAATTATTTATATTTTAGGTGGTATTTCATAAAATTTTATCATTCTATTTTGTTTTGTTTTTGTTTGTTTTTTTTTGAAACATATCATTATATTTTGTTGTAGTTAATGATTTGTCGGTTAAGAATTCAAAAAAAATGGAGAGGGGATACGTGGCATAGCATCTAGGTTCTTTTTCAGGATTAATTTCAAATAGAAATCATCTTTGAGACAATAAAAGAGGGTGTTTGTTTGTCTGTTTTTGACGATTTTGTGTATTTTTAATTGAAATAATTTCAACTATGTTCCTCAATCAAAATTATCATAATTCATTTATTATTAGTCTAAGTTATGTACGTATCCAAAATTTACGATGGATAATCCACCAACTTGCAAAATAGGGTGAAATACTTTTTTACCCTTAAACAAGAAATATTTATTAAGCGCTATCTTAAAATATTTTTAAAATACTTTATGCCAATTTAAACATAGGTCAATAGGTTAAGGTACCTCCCATTATACTAAAAAAAAAAAGAAAAATGTTTTATATTTTTTAAGATTGTTGAGGGAGAAAGTGTGAGGTTTTGGGGTGACAGCTGGAAGGAGGACCACAAACGACGTGGAGCGTACGAGTAAGGGAGGACAAATGTTGCATGCCTGTTACGTTGTACGAGAGACGCGTTTGTAGAAAGGATAGACTGACAAGTGGAAGGGTGTCCACCGTGCATCGAGAATGTTCTCGCCTATCTGTCTGAATCCCCTACGACGAGGAGCGCCTCTGCACCACATACAAAATGTCCTCCCTAGTCGACCATGGACACCTATAAAGGGGAATGACCGCCACCACAAGTAAGTGAAAAATCTATCACTAATCTCTATACTACCTTTGAAATTAAATACTTGAAAATGAATTATATTGATTTGATTTATTATTATTATTATTATTTTTGTGGAAATTGCAAGAATTTTCAAACTAAATACTTGAAAATAAATAATATTGGTTGCATTACCTATCCTTCTCTCCTCGAACAAAATATCACCAAGCCTTCCCTCACATCAAATAATTATCCATCCACCTAATTCTTATCTATGCCAACATCACAACTTTAGACTTTTTAGTCCGAAATACATACCTTAATTAATTGAGTTATTCATGTTACCTGTTTTTAAGTATTTTACTACAATAATAACATCCAGATTAATTCACCACATTTTTACTATAATAAAATACATTTACACCTGTTGAAGGAAAAAGTAACTATGATTATGATATCTTAGTTTAAACCTTAATTTTACTTATTTAGATTGTACTTAGGTTCACTAATAATAGTTCGAATGACAAAAAAATAGATTTACATAAAACTTATCCAAGATCCAAATATCTTCCTTCGTTAGCACAATAATAAACCACAAACTGAGTAAACTAATTAATTATTATTTTTCTCAACATGCATATCTCAATTTTATTTATACCTCTAACTCACATAACAGCATACAATCAAATAAAGGTTGATCAATTATTCAGGCAGTAAACCAGCTTTTATTAATCTAACGATAGATTATTATTTCTAAAGTGGATGATTAAACATCTCACCATAATAGTTGAACTTGAAAATAAAGAAAAAGAAAAAGAAAAATAATGAGATTATTGTAGAAAGTGGGGCCTTTAAACCATCAAATATTAATCACCTTTCCAATTCCATTACAGAAAACCCAAAAAATCAGCCTCATAATCAGCCAAGTATGTTAGCCCCATGTTAATATAGTAGCCAAACATTACATATACACAGCCAACCTAAACATAATTTGGTCATATCTGATTATATTTAGGCTGCAATTTTAATACTTGAATAATGTTAAAAATTTCTCTAACTAATTACTTACTAATATATCCTTGCTATTCTATTAATCACTCTAAAGACCATTCCTATTATCACTTACTTAATAAAGCTCTACCAACTCAGAGGATTTTTGGACTGTTGCACTTTAGCATTGTACGAAGATTCTATCTCCTCCTGCAAGAAACAAGAAAGAATCATTGGCTGAGAGCTCTATTTCACGAAAGATGTGAATTTAACGTATGTTTCAGCCTTCAAAGAAGTGGATAAAAAGGTGTCAAATCTTCTATATTTTGGCTACAAATGTGAGTTCAAAAGTTTTATAAGCCATCCTCAGTGCCTCCCTACCATTGCCAGGCAGCAGCAGAAGAAATTACTAATAGAAGAGGGCCAGTATTGAGAATATCCATAATGATAACTTAAGACTAAATCCAATGAGCCAAAACAACCGTTACAATGCAACCTATAACTATATGATAATGTAGCAGTTCCTGAAGATGATGCAGGAAGAGATGAATAAAGTTCTACAGTATGTAGCCTAGTTCTATCTTTTTTTGACAAGAAATTGAACTGTTCGTTGATATTTGAATAGTTTGAATCAAACCTTATAAATGAGAGCCTATCAAAGCACACCCCCAAAAATAAACTATACATACACTTTACAGTCTAAAACCACAAGAAATCAATCAAACTATGACGATGCACAAGATATAGGCTTCCATAATTTCAAGCCTACAAGAATGATGATCTAAACGGTCAGATTTACTCCATATGTCAAAAAAGAACTACCTTGCATGATTTCAGCAGTGGCTGTAAGAATGATGATCTGAAAAACCTAATGGATTCCCCAAGTGAGGTTCTATCCCAGTCTGTCATTAAGTAAAAAGATTATAACAGCATTCGGTTAGTTTCTAATTTTGAATTATCCTGCCACAGATGCATAAGCAAATAAAGCATGAACCTCTAAAAGCTACAATGAAGAGCACATAACATACCAGTCTCACCATCTACTTTCTGTCTTTTTTTCTCTTGAGAATACTCACCATCTACGTTCATATCAGCAGCATTGAGTTCTTCTAGAAGCTGCAAAATACATAATTACAAGATTCACTTTATTGGACAGAAGCCAAATTTACCATACACATAATGGAGTATTTACTATCATGGCTTAATTATACAGATTTTGATAATCTTTCTTCAGCCATAATGTGCAAAGAAAGAAATGCAAGCAACTTGTTCAAGGAATCTATGGCAGAAGATGCAGTTAACGAATTAAATTAACATGGGTAGCTTTAAAAAATTCCAAAAGTTGAAGGACACGGTAACAATTCCAAATTTCAACGTCAAATGACATCACATTTATTTCTAACCACAACAAATTCTGAAGTACTAAATTGAAAATTAAACATTCTCATTGCCGCAAAACAGTATGAAAAAGCATAGGATTTATGCTTTATGCCTTTATTTATTGCTGTTTTACCTGGGCAAGAGTTGGTACAGTAGTAGGATCAAACTCGTCACAGTTTTCGGGGTTTATAGGGACACAAATACGACCTGGAACAAAAAGGTATAAGCTTCAATAATATGTAGAACATGTGTTGTCTCCACACGAGGTGCATTGCATCCTTCATGCTAATTAAATTTACTTGCAAGATTTCAAATAAAGTGAACTTTAAAGCATTAAGTTTAACATTAAGACCATGATGTTTAATTGTTTCTGCAAGTCACTCCTACTCATCATCTAATACTAGCAATTATTTCCAGCACTGACCTGTTTTTGGATGAACACAGAATGGTGCTTTTAACAAATGGTTCGTATGTTTAGTAACCTGAAGAATAAAGAACTTGCCTCATCAAGAAAGTAAATTAAATCAGATTTAATGAGGTAAATTTGAAATTTCTGTTACAATCCCATGTGCTGGCCAATTAGAGATCCATTATGTAATGAATTTAATTGCTAGAATAGAATGACCAAGGCGGAAAATCAAGGTAAGATAAAGCGGGGTAATACACATACCTCCAAGTCGAGCCTAGGGTAGGTAAAAGAGAAAACAATCTCTTCAACATGCCTACGCATTCCCTGTGCCTGAACAGAATAATAATGCATAATTATCCTCAAAATGTAACAGTTGTTGGAAATTGTAGGCCATTCATGTGGGACAATAGTTGGAACTCAATTAATTCCGGTGATATGTTCGGAGAGGAAGCAAGGGGGAAACAGGGGACAAGAGGGAGAGGAAGAGCACTGTGTCGGTCGAAACTTGAAGGATGATAAATTGGAAGAGTTCTATAATCTTATGCAAATGCTGGATTTAGTGAGGCTTAATCGAATGGTAGATAAGTCGAATTGGAACCTGTAAAAAGATGGGAAATTTTATGTTAAATCATTTGAAAATTATTCATGTGAATTTCTAGTCACGTCTCTATGAAAAACTAAATGTTCAAGGAAGGTGAATATCTTTTATGGGCAATGCTCCAAGGGAGTTTAAATACTACTGATAAAGTTCAAAGAAGTGTCCCAAGTAAGTCCAAATGTGTGCCATATTTGTTAAATTCCCCTGAAGACTCCAACCATGTATTATCCCAATGACAGTTCGGTAGGTTTGTTTGGGCAGGAGTTTAAAAGTATCTTGGGTGTTTAATTGTAGTGCAGTTTTGAGCTCTTCTTGAAAGTTTGTGGGTTTCAGAATAGTTTCAAAGATTGTTTGGATTAATACAT